CACGGTGGCTGCAGATATTAGACCATGTCTCTAACTCTGACAGGCTATTTTTGATACCCTGTATGGTTTGTACCAGGGGTGGCTGCAGATATTAGACCATGCCTCTAACTGTGACAGACTATTTTTGATACCCTATATGGTTTTTACCGGGGGTGGCTGCAGATATTAGACCATGCCTCTAACTCTGACAGGCCATTTTTGAAACCTTATATGGTTTACACCAGGGCTGGCAGTAGATATTAGACTATGGCTCTAACTCTGACAGACTATTATTGATACCCTATATGGTTTGTACCAAGGGTGGCTGCAGATATTAGACCATGTCTCTAACTCTGACAGACTATTTTTGATACCCTATATGGTTTGTAACAGGGTGGCTCCAGATATAAGACCATGCCTCTAACTCTGACAGGCTATTTTTGATACCCTATATGGTTTGTACCAGGGGTGGCTGCAGATATTAGACCATGCCTCTCACTCTAAAAGACAATTTTTGATACCCTATATGGTTTGTGCTTGGAGTGGCTGCAGATATTAGACCATGCCCCTAACTCTGACATTCTATTTTTGATACCCTATATGGTTTGTACCAGGGGTGGCTGCAGATATTAGACTGTGCCTCTAACTCTGACAGACTATGTTTGATACCCTATATGGTTTGTACCAGGGGTGGCTGCAGATATTAGACTGTGCCTCTAACTCTGACAGACTATTTTTGATACCCTATATGGTTTGTACCAGTGGTGGCTGCAGATATTAGACTGTGGCTCTAACTCTGACAGACTATTTTTGATACCCTATATGGTTTGTACCAGGGATGGCTGCAGATATTAGACCATGACTCTGACTCTGACAGGCCATTTTTGATACCCTATATTAGACCATGTCTCTAACTCTGACAGACTATTTTTGATACCCTATATGGTTTACACCAGGGCTGGCTGCAGATATTAGACCATGCCTGTAACTCTGACATTCTATTTTTGATACCTTATATGGTTTGTACCAGGGGGTGGCTGCAGATATTAGACCATGCCTCTAACTCTGACATTCTATTTTTTGATACCCTATATGGTTTGTGCTTGGAGTGGCTGCAGATATTAGACCATGCCTCTAACTCTGACAGGCTATTTTTTATACCCTATATGGTTTGTACCGGTGGTGGCTGCAGATATTAGGCCAAGTATGCGATGCTTACCGCTTGTTTCTTTTTGACTCAAAGCCTAAAGAGCACGGCCTAGATAGTCGCGCTTAATGAGTAGTTTTACTACAAATGTGTATTTTGATGGAAATGTAAAGATAAAATATTTTACCTATCACCCTTTTAGTTCCTCTAGACTCCCTTTCTGATTAAGAGGCTAATTGCAAATTAGCAAACGGTAATTGATAAATGTCTCCATTCTCATCGCTTAATGGCTCGATATTGTACTGATATTGGAAAGAGAAGGTACCTGTCCATTACTTCTGGTAGTGAAAAATATCGAATATGAGAGAGAACCATGAAGGGAGGTATGTAAGTTCTTTTTGTCCTATGAGAGGTTTCTGCATTACTAACTAGTCGTAACCTTTTCTCTTTAAACGATATTTTTTTTCTTATTGTGGAAAATTTCCGTGATGTACACGTTGAAATTTGATTGCTTGGAGTAAGCGCAATCAGTTACCTTGTTGGAGGTTATGTGGAAGTCATTTATGAGGTCGGGTTCGGGTTCGATGGCACGGTGTTTTGCTAATTTTCGACGAAGACTAAACAACAATTAGAGAAAGCTTGGTTGGGAGGGGAGTTATCACATTTTTTTCCATGCTACACGCAAGCTTTCTTGGGCAACAATGTAGAATCGTATGTAGATTGTGATAAGTGTAAGTGCATTTCTTTGTGGAGTGGAAATCGTGTTTTTCTTCTTTTTTTTTTGTAGTTCTTACATTACACTGAACATAAAAATTTTAAAAAATCTGAAGGGTGCACGGAGGCTGTACACCAATGAATTATTGGGATGAACATGGTGACTCAAATATGAGGCGTACACATGAAGAAAATCAACATTATAAGTAATCTATTTACGTGAACCTCTGGGTATTTTCCAAGAAATTTATTGAAACTGGTAAATTGAGGCAGACACGCAATCATGCACGCCGTGTCATTCTCTACGCAGAAGCGGACGTTGCCATGAATCTAGTATACGTTGTTGGCGACGAAACTAGTATCTGTATTGTTGGTGGTGTTAGGAGTTCCTCAGCTGTTTGTATGACACAGTAAACGTTGATTAAAGACAGTACAATTGTAGAGAGAGCTCCACCGATAGGGACCACACGTTTGCATCTCCTTAAGTGGGGAGAAAGCGCAGCACGAATCACCGATAAGGTACTTCTACACTCTTCTGGAGGCTGGGAATCTTTTTTTGACTTGTTTAAAGCACATTGATAGAATCCAGCAGAGGTAAAAGTCGGCGACATATCGCGCCTTTGGCAATTTCTATAGAGCCCGTCCGTAACAAAACAGATCTTCGATCTTTCATTTATTTCTTTGTGCACTCAAAAAGAACAATCAAATACAAACTTACAGGGAAAAAAAAAAAAAAAAACGTTATGTAGGTCATTCAACAAGCTCTGGTGGTTTGTCATTCGTGCACTTGCTCTGTGGGTGTTCTCTATACTTCTCGTCATAGCGATTCTTCTTGAAGCATTCGGCGGCAGCTGCATCGCATTCGCATAAACGAAAGCGGCATTCTCCCGAAAACCAGTAGTGAGATGGAGGTTCTGAGTAAGATGAGAGAATTAAGTTAAATACTCTTGTCTAAAATGTTTAAAAGATGGAGGTTCGGACGTAAGATGAGAGAATTAAGTTAAATGCTCTTGTCTAAAATGTTTAAAAGATGAAGGTTCTGACGTAAGATGAGAGAATTAAGCTAAATACTGATGTCTAAAATGTTTAAAAGAAGTGTCTCCAGGAATTTACAGCTTAGGAACTATTGTATATTGTGAAAGGAAACGTGGTAAATTTCATTAGTTTGTTTGGCGTGAAAATATATCAATCACCCAATATCTTGAAAACTGTTTAAAGTTTTCCTATTGTACCACAGATGAAAAAGTTTCTGAAGTCTGCTTGCACGTCTGGTAGCAAATTATATTCTAGAAACGAAACCGGAAAACGAAAACGGAGTAGAATAAAAAAAAATAAAAAAAAATAAAAACCAGTGCAACTGAACATTAACATATAAAAACAAGAAAAACACTTTCATTCAAAATATAAACAAACTAAGACAGAACAAAACAAAGCCTTTTTGACCCTTTTGTAAAGGGTCAATAAGTCTTTTTTAACTTACCACATTTGGCAGGGTGATTGCGTTTGGTTGAGTAGGGCATAAAATACACTGCTTTCTCGGAAGGGCAAACGTTTGACTGCATGAGCTGGTGATAGCATATGTCATGAACTAGGCAGCACCTGAAAATAGAATCATCTGCTTCTTTAGTTCTAAATGGGACAACACTTTTCTAGTTAGAAAGCTCAACTTCACTTCCATTCTTCTGACAACCTTGTAAGTGTTTCCCTTTTTAAAATGGTACCGTATTGTTCAAAAAGGAGGTTGTCGCGAATGAAACAGCCGTAAATGATCAATTGAGGTGATTCCTTCGAAAAAAAATATCCAGCAATTGTTTTTAACTTTCCTTAAATGTTCCCTACCAATGTCTGTTTCGAAAAATACGATAAAAAAAGATAGGTCACCTTGCTTGTTTAAGAGATACGATTATTCCTGTACTGGCAATAATCACTCGCGTTATTTTGGCGGTACATTTTGCGGTAGCTGGAAGCAAGGGCTTTACAGTAACAATTAAAAACAACTTGATAGGTTGACGCATCAAGCGTATGAAAAGGTTTAAGTTACTTTGTGGAAAAATAACGCAATTTCAAATTACATCGACTCAAACTGTTCCTCGAGTCGTTGCTGTCGAGGTTATAATTTGCATCATCTAGTAACGCGCTTCGTGAACGCTTTTAGCTGTATCATGTTTTCTCTTCGATTAATATTTCCTTTAGTTCTCCAATGAAAAGGGAATAATTTATTAAAACAAAATTATACAATTAAGATATAGGTCAACGTGCTCGTTTCATGTGCTAAAGACCATGGCACCTCTCTACCTGGTCCATTAATTGGGAAACAATATCTTGTTCTCGAATGCGCGTACGCTTATTCGCCTGATTAGGTGGTTTTGGATGCACAGTGCATAATTCGGGAATCACCTTAATGAATTCTTAGAGTCCGTTTCCATTCCTATTCAGTTTTGTCACCTATTTCACCAAAACTGAATTAGATGGAGCCTGGAAAATGTAACTTAAGATATGTTGTTCTCTGTCTTCAACGTTTTAACTCAATCATCACGCAGGGTGCGAGAAAAGTCAAAAGAAAGCTTTACTAGATCACCTGTCCAGATCATCCACGGGTTTGCCTTTCCCGCCAATTCCACACCAGCAGCCATAACCGTTGAAATCAATGGGATTTCTATTAGTAACGCGCCAAACCATCAAGCCAAAGGAAACGATACCTTTCTTAGTCGCGTTTGCACTTCTCTCATCTGCTAAGCGATCGGAAAGTATACACAATGTTGTCATGAGTGATAAGTTACAATTACAATTTCAAAGAAGCACAGCTAGTCTGCTCTCTATTTGTGGTTTTCACTGTCATGTTATCGAAATCTAAAATCAAATTTATTGAATGCCTGACGCCAAGAGAGAGAGAGGTATGGGGTTAGTAACGCGGCCATGTTGGTACATATCTAGGGGGCACCAGCATAGCGGCCACAAAGTGCCGCAAAGACCTGTTGTCTCGTTTCGCCATTTCAGTGATCAGTTATTCACTATGAACTCGCGGACATTTTATCTTAATACATTTTCTAATGTTTCTAATGCTCAGGGAAATAAAACGTCACACGATGATGTCGTATTTTCAACACTCCGGCTTTTCGGACCGCCATCTCAATGTCGTGCGTCGAAATTAGAAACGAATAAAGGCTGATAGTTTCGAAAGAAACTGTTTGGGGCTGCGTCGGTGGGAGAAACGAAATAATTTGGATATATCAACAAAGTTGAAGTGGTAAATTGGCCACCGTAACATATATGTTATATATATATATATATACAAATACAAATGGCTCACAAGAAAGACTTGGGAAAAAGAGTAAAAATGTCGAATAAATGAAAATAAATTCAATTTAATCAAGTTTACATTGCAATTATCAGAAGCCGAGTTTTCAAGATATTTTTGTTATTAAGTCGGGTTAATCAATATAATCATTTTCTTCTGAAAGTATTCGGAGTAAAGTATCAAGGACCTCGATTTTAAAGTTATTTATGGACATTTGACGTATTTCACACGGTAAACTATTCCAGATTTTTACACCATACCTTGAAAAAGACTTTGTCTGTTTAATCTTGAGTGTTTAACATAATAGATTGGTTTCACGCTGAACTCTTTGACACAAGAAGTTTCGTTATCTCTTGATTCAGCTCTAATTGCAGCTTGACCAGAACATACAGTATTTGATAGTTGGGGATAGTTTAAGCAAGTAACTAAAATGCTGAGGATCCATTAATGACATGGCCATGGTGCATGAGTGAGTGTGACTAAGAATGGTATCTGGTTACTATGACTGGAACACTAAATTTTGGAAGGAAAGACGTGAGCTATGAAACCTTAAAGTTCATCCCCACAACAAGTAAAGGAAAAAAGGAAGTGTGAACTGAAGAACATGAAAACTTAACATCTGGTTTTAAATAATAAGATACCTACCTAAGTGGCCAGATTCTGCAATGAAGTTCGGTGCAGCGATGGCGCCTCCAAGAACAATTGACATCAGCCAAATAACCCTAGACTCCATTGCAAATCTGTAATTAACCCAATATTCTGGGTAAGCCAACCATGTACAACACTAAACTTTGGTTGATATCAAACAATCAAACATTTAGCGAAGCGATCTCGCAACGACATCTGAGGCTTCAGCAATTTTCTTCGTTCTTCTTGCTTCACTCGTGTATTGTAATTCATTTTTTTTTGTGCTAAATTTCTTTAAGCGTAGCGAAAACGTATAAAAAATTACATTTTCCTCAGTCACTGCATGTGTTCCTGTAATATTGCTTTTATCTCTCGAAAATAAACTCACTTCTTTGCGCAGCGGATTAATGTCCTCTCTGCATGTGTGTCACAAAACAAAATGTGGGATTAATGGCAGTATTCCTGATTACCATTTGCTTAAAACTGTTTCACAAATGAAAATTTAATAGTGAACGAAGAAAAAGCTAAATGAAATAACGATCCACCTCCTCTTCCCTGAAGAAAGCTGGCACCTGTGTATCCCTGCTGTGTTTTATGAAGCAATTTTCGTTTCTATGTGACATTGGTGACGGAAGCTAACGTCCCACCCAAGCAAATAGGCCACCCGATGACGAGTCATTTTTCTGTCACGTTTCTTTTTCGAAATGAATACATTTGTAATTGTGCACCGGGTGAGGATCGTTTCTTCGAATGCGTGGTTTTCTTATTTTCTTTCCTTTTTAATTTCTTTTGTTTTCGGCGATTTCTTTTAATTTACGAAGCAATGTGAGATCATACCAAGAGAAAGGTCCTAGGCCTATATTGCAATGTCCGACAAATAAAAACAAGTGCGGGTAATATTCATAATTTTAGATAGAATTTGGATCCAAATAGAAAATCTAAAAAAGAAAAAGAGAAAACAAAAAAGGAATCAGCGTTTTTTTGGTTTTCATGAATAACTTTAAAAATGGTTACAGAAAAATTTATCGGGTGTCATTGAAGTCTCTTATCAATTCTTCAATTTCCCATTCCTCCTAATTTACGTACTATGAATATACATTTTAAGCTGCCATAATGTGACCGCAAGAGATGGTTTTACCTGTTGACTGACAGTGGCTATTTACAATTCATATTTTTTTTTAAGATGATAACTACTATTACTTCGAGGGACTCGGCAAAGCTTCCGCGCACATCGGTGACATGGATGTTAAGGCCCAGCACGCCTTCTACTGAGGGCACAATACGACTGGGTCTACGAGACACCTCCACTTTCCCCCTTTTCTGTCACGTAAACTTTATGAGCATGTCTTAAATAGTGTCTGGACGAACTGAAACGTTGCGTTCTCTTTAACCATTAATATATGTTTAGTAAGTAAAATCGTAGTTTTTTTTTCTGCGAAATACATTTGTTTGCAATGTTTTCCCAAAAGAATACGTTTGTTTCGAACTAAAGTTGAGATAACCGAAGAAAGGTCGCTTTTGGGTTTTTACTACGGATGCTATAAGGCTATTGGTTTAAAAAGGCAAAACGATGTCACTAGCGTATGGATTACTTTCATTTAGACAATGGGTCTGCGATATGAACTTGTGGCGAATATCTAAGAATGACCAAATCAAAGGAAGGTTATCTTTAAGTTGCAATGGGTACTTTTATTTCGCATTCATCTTGTGCTTATTTAGAGAAAGACCCTGAAAAGGTAACAATAATCATTGTGGTTCCTTCAGTAACTTTGCAGGGTTTGTCATTCTAGCAGTTGCTCTCAGGGTATTTTTTCTACTTCTCATTATAGTCACTCTTCTTGAAGCATTTGGCGGCAGTTGCAGCGCACTCCCACAAGGCAGAGCAGCATATTCCATAAAGCCAGTAAAAAGAAGCAGGTTCTGAAGGAAGATGAAATGATGTAGTTAAATTCTCTTTTTTTCTTTTCAAACCATGCGAGATATGACTACATAGGGCCCTTTGTATCAAGTGAAAGGCAATTCAACATTCCTAAACCGAATAACTCAGTGAGAAGCATCGGCCTAAATGTCAATCAATGTGAAAAAGGAAAAGATAAGAAGTAAAGTTTTTTGCGCGATTAAAACAAACTTCTGCTTCTTTTATTCCGATCACGTCCAAATAAACGGTTACAACAACAGAGAGAGAAAACAAAATACACTAGTATATATATGCTAATTCCTAAAAAAGAAAGTTTGAATAACAAAAGGAAAAGAAACACCTGATATTTCAAATTTAAAATAACAACGGCAAACATAATAGGCATAATAACAACACTCCCACTTTTGACGTTGCTTATTTGACAGTCTTCATGCCTAGCTTAGTAACAAGTTTCTCAAAGCCATGCTTAGGCAAAGGTTCATGGTCCATTTGATAAACTATTATCTTTCTGT